AGATATACATTGTGGAATATTTGTTTAGGATGTGCTACACTCAGTTATGCTGTGAAATGTGTTTAATGATGCAAAGATGTGTAGCGTTCTTTTAATCTTGTAAAACTGTTACTTTGCTTGCCAAAACAATTGTTTGGTCTGATAAAGAACCGAATGGTCAATGACTGGGCAGGAGGCTGGAATCCAGAAAGAACAAATAGGAAGAGAAATCTAGGCTCAAAAGCAGAGGGAGGAGGCAGAGGCAGGCGGATCTCTGTGAGTTCGAGACCAGCCTGGTCTACAGAGCTAGTGCCAGGACAGGCTCCAAAGCCACAGAGAAACCCTGTCTCAAAAAACAACAACAAACAAAACAAAACAAACAAACAAACAAACAAACAAACAAACAAACAAAAAAGCAGAGGGAGGAGCAAGGAACAAGAAAAGAAGGAGAGGAGGACACCAAACGACCAGTCACCTAGCCTCGCAGTTAGTCCCGGAGTAAGAAGGATAAAAAGATATTTAGAATAAAGAAAGGTAAAGAGTCTAGAGATAAAATACAGTTAAAGAGAAATAGGACAATTTAAGTTATAAAAACTGGCATTGAAGAAACTCCACATAGAGTATGCTTTAAATTTGTCAAGGCCAGCCTTTTGGGTAAGAGACTGCTCTTGCTTTGACTGCTGACTGTATGCTGTACAAACTGGATTTAAGGTGTGTGCCACCACTCCCTAGCATTTATGTATAACTGATGGCTTGCTTCACAATCTGATCCTAAGGCAAGTTTTATTTGTTATAGTACAAACAAATATTATCACAGTTATCAAACAATAATTGCATTTACAATGTTGAGACTATACTGAACATCTATGCCCCCAATACAAGGGCACTTCTTTAAGACTTTAAGACTTCTAAAGCTAAAATCATACATTAAACACCACACACTAATAGTGGGAGACTTCAACACTCCCCTCTCACTACGGGACAGGTCAGAGAGACACACATTGGAGCACCGGACTGAACTCCCAAGGTCCAAATAAGGAGCAGAAGGAGGGAGAACACGAGCAAGGAAATCAGGACCACTAAGGGTGCACCCACTCACGGAGACAGTGGGGCTGATCTATTGGGAGCTCACCAAGGCCAGTTGGACTGGGATTAAAAAAGCATGGGATAAAACCGGACTCTCTGGACATGGCGGACAATGAGGGCTGATGAGAAGCCAAGGACAATGGCACTGGGTTTTGATCCTACTGCATGTACTGGCTTTGTGGGAGCCTAACCAGTCTGGATGCTCATCTTCGTAGACCTGGATGGAGTGGGGAGGACCTTGGACTTCCCATAGGGTAGGGAACCCTGACTGCTCTTTGGACTGGAGACGGAGGGGAAGGGAAATGGGAGGCTGGGAGGAGGCGGGAATTTTTTTCAATAAAAAATAAAAAAAATAAACAGAGAAGAGAACTAACATATGTTATGACTCAAATGGACTTAGCAGACATCTATAGAATATTCCATTCAAACAGAAAAGAATATACCTTCTTAGCACCTCATGGAACCTTTTCAAAAATTGGCCAAACACTTGGTAACAAAATCTCAACAATTACAAAAAAAAATGGAATAACACAATGTACCTTATCAGATCACCATGGTTTAAAACTAGAAGTCAACAGCAATACTATTTCCAGAAAGCCAACAAACACATGGAAATTAAACAATGCTCACCTTAATTATCAATGGGTCAAGGAAGAAATAAAGGGAGAAATTAAAGACTTCCTAAAATTCAATGAAAATGTTAACACAACATACCCGAATTTGTGAGACACAACGAAAGCAGTGCTAAGAGGAAAGTTCATAGCACTAAATGCCTACATAAAGAAGGTGGAAAAATCCCACACTAGTGAGTTAACAGAACATTTGAAAACTCTAGAACAAAAAGAAGCAAACTCACCTAGGAGGACTAGACAGCAGGAAATAGTAAAATTGAGAGCTGAAATCAACAAAAGAAAATAATACAAAGAATCAATGAGACAAAGAGTTGGTTCTTTGAGAAAATCAATGAAATAGGCAAAACTTTATTCAAACTAAGCAAAAGGCAGAGAGAGAATATCCAAATTAACAAAATCAGGAATGAAGATGGGGACATAACAACAGACACAGAGAAAAAAATACATTCATCAGGTCATATTTCTAAAACCTGTACTCCACAAAATTGGAAAACTTAAAGGAAATGGACAACTTTCTGAATAAATATCACTTACCAAAATGAAATCAAGACCAGATAAGCAAATTAAACAGACCTATAACTGCTGAAGAAATAGAAACAGTCATCAAAAGTCTCCCAATCAAAAAAGAGACCAGAACCAGATGGTTTCATCTCAGAATTCTACAAGATTTTTAAAGAAGAACTAATATCAATATTCCTCAAATTATTCCACATAATAGAAACAGAAGAAACATTGCCAAACTCTTTTTTATGAGGCTACAATTACCCTGATATCCAAACCACAGAAAGATATTACTAAGAAAGAGACTTTCAGACCAATCTCACTCTTGATCATTGATGCAAAATTACTAAATAAAATACTGGAAAATTGAATCTAAGAACACATCAGAACTATCAACCACCATGATCAAGTCAGCTTCATCCCAGAGAAGAAGATATGGTTCAACATATGAAAATCTGTAAACATAATCCACCCGTATAAACACACTGAAAAATAAAAACCACATGATCATCTCATTAGATGCTAAAAAATTTTTTGACAAAATACAACATCTCTTCATGATAAAGGTCTTGGAGAGAGCAGGCATACAAGGAACATACCTAAACATAATAAAGGCAACACACAGCAAGCCAACAGCAAACATCAAATTAAATGGAGAGAAACTCTTCGCGATTCCACTGAAATCAGGAATAAGACAAGGTTGTCCACTCTCTTGATATCTATTCAGTATAGTTTTTGAGGTCCTAGCTAGAGCAATAAGACACCAAAAGTAGATCAAGGGGATACAAATTGGAAAAGAAGAAGTCAGACTCTCACTGTTTGCTGGTGATATGATAGTTAACACAATTGACCCCAAAAATTCTACCAAGGAACTTCCATGACTCATAAACACTTTTAGTCATGTAGCAGGATACAAGATTAAAAAAAAAAATCAGTAGCCCTCCTGTACACGGATGATAAAAGGGCTGGGTAAGAAATCAGAGAAACAACTCCCTTCACAATAGCCACAAATAGCATAAAATATCTTGGAGTAACTATAACCAAACAAGTGGAAAACTTCTATGACAAGAACTTTAAATCTTTGAAGAAAGAAATTGAAGAAGACAACAGAAAGTGGAAAGATCTCCCATGTTCTTGGGTCGGAAGAATTAACATAGTAAAAATGGCAATCTTACCAAAAGCAAGCTACAGATTCAATGCAGTGCCCATCAAAATCCTATCAAAATTCTTCACAGACCTCAAAAGAACAGTACTCAACTTCATATGGAAAAGCAAACAACAACAACAAACAAACAAACAAACAAAAATCCAAAAAACCCAGGATAGCCAAAACAATCCTGTACAATTAAAGAACTTCTGGAAGCATCACAGTCCCTGACTTCAAACTCTACTACAGATCTCCACTACTGAAAACAGCCTGGTATTGGCATAAGAACAGACAGGAGGACCAATGAAACTGAGAAGACCTGGATATTAATCCACACACCTTTGAACACCTGGTTTTTGACAAAGAAGCAAAAATTATCAAATGAAAAAAAAAAGGGCATACTTAACAAATGGTGCTGGCATAATTGGACATCAACAAGTAGAAGAATGAAAATAGATTTATATCTATCACTATGCACAAAACTCAAGTCCAAATGGATCCAAAACCTCAACAGAAAGCCAGTAACACTGACCCTTATAGTAGAGCAAGTGGGAAGTACACTTGAATGCATTGGCACAGGAGACCACTTCCTAAATATAATACCAGCAGCACAGTCACTGAGAGGAACACTTAATAAATAGGACCTCCTGAAACTGATCAGTTTCTGTAAAGCAAAGAACGTGGTCAAAGAAAAATGACAGCCATTTCTTCACTAACCCCACATCAGACAGAGTTTTTATCTCCAAAATATACTAAGAACTCAAGAAGTTGGTCATCAAAAGAACACATAATACAATAAAACATGGATTACAGACCTAAACAGAGAATCCTCAACAGAGGAATCTAAAATGGCAGAAAGACACTTGAGGAAATGTTCAAAATCCTTAGTCATAAGAGAAATGCAAATGAAAATAACTCTGAGATTCCATCTTACACCTGTAAGAATGGCCAAGATAAAAGACACTGATGACAACTTAGGCTGGAGAGGGTGTGGGAAAAGGGGACACTTCTGCACTGCTGGTGGGAATGCAAGCTGGTACAACCTCTCTGGATTTCAGTGTGGTGACTTCCCAGAAAGTTAGGAAACAACTTCCAAGACCCAATAATACCACTTTTGGGTACATATACAAAGGATGCTCAATTGTGCCACAAGGACATGTGCTCAACTGTGTTCATAGCAGCATTGTTTGTCATAGTCAGAACATGGAAACAACCTAAAAAAACCCTCAACCAAAGAATGGATAAGGAAAATGTGGTACATTTATACCATGGAGTACTACACAGCAGAAAAAAATAACTTCTTGAATTTTGCAGGAAAACTGATGGAGCTAGAAAGCATTATCTTGAGTGAGGTAACCCAGACACAGAAAGACAATTATTACATATACTCACTTGTAGGCAGCTTTTAAATATAAAGCAAAGAAAACCAGCCCACAAACTACAATCCCAGAGAATTTAGACGACAAAGAGGACACTAAGAGAGACTTACATAGATCTAGTTACATAGGAAGTAGAAAAAGAAAAGATCTCCTGAGTAAATTGGAAGCATGAGGACCTTGGGGGAGGGCTGAAGGGGGAGGGGAGAGGCACAGAGATGAACAGAAATAAAACATAGAGCTTAATAAAAATCAATTTAAAAAAGAAAATTTCTTCACCTTTTCTCATGAGCACCAAGCTGTTAGTAACCATATCTTTACTTATGAGACTATAATTGCACATGTTATTTTCTTTCATGGATTGGAAGGAGCTATTCTTGAGGACCAGATCCAGCTCATTTGGCTCTAATTTCTTTCCTAGGAAGTCACAGATCTTCTCTATGGTTCCTCTTGTGTCCTAAAAGAAGAAGAAACAAAAATGAATATAATAAAATGAGATTTCTGAGAGAAAAGATGCAGATAAAGGAACTGTGGATGGATGATGAGAAAACAGGCACAAAGAAAGAAGTGGCACCATCAAATGAGAAAGTATGAATAGGGTTTAGGAAGGGAACAGTCCTCTGAGAGAGGGCAGGAATAACACACAGAATTTATAAATTGAGTTGAGTGGGCTTGTCGTGTAGCTGATATCTGGTTTCTAAAAGATATTGCTTGGGTTTTTTTTTTGTGGAATAATATTTTTGTATACTGTGAAGCTGTGCATTTGCTAAGGTACCTTCTGCTTGGCTTAATAAAGAGATAAATGGTCAATATCTAGGCAGAGCTATAAGTGAGACTTGCAGGCAAAAAGAGAACTCAGAGCAGAAGAGAGAAGCCATTCAGACACAGAATGATTCAGACATACAGAACATGGTAGAGGTAAAATCCACATGGTAAAACATAGATTAATAAAAAATATGTGTAAATTTAAGTTATAAGAGCTAGGTGAGACAAGCCTAATCTAAAGGCCTAGCTTTCATAATTAGTAATAAGTCTCCTTACAGTTTTGTTTTGGAGCCAACTGGTAGGCCAGAAAAAGTCTCATTACATTGCCTTCAATGTGGGACTCAAATATCTAAGCATTGGGCATTAGAATACTATAGACAAAAGTTTCTGTCCTGTCCAGTCTTGCAGCTGTTCAGTCCCAACAAAACACACAGAAGCTTATAATAATTATAGACTAGTTGGCCTGTTAGCTTAGGCTTAATATTAACTAGCTCTTAAACTTAAATTAACCCATAATATTTTTCTATGTTAGCCACCTGGATTGATACTTTTTTGTGTTTGTTTTTTTTTTCATTTCAGTATGATATGTTTATTTTTAAGAATGGACTATTAAAGTTTGCTTTTTTAGTTTTGATTTTTATTGAGCTCTACATTTTTCTCTGCTCCCCTCCCTGCCTCTCCCCTTCCTTTCAATCTTCCCCCAACACCCTCATGCTCCCAATTTACTCAGGAGATCTTATCTTTTTCTATTTCCCATGTAGATTAGATCTACATATTTCTTTCTTAGGGTCCTCATTGTTGTTCATGTTCTCTGGGATTGTGATTTATGGGCTGGTTTTCTTTGCTTTATGTTTAAAACCCACTTATGAGTTAGTACCTGTGATAATTGTCTTTCTGTGTCTGGATTACCTCACTCAAAATGATGTTTTCTAGCTCTATCCATTTTCCTGCAAAATTCAAGATGTCATTAATTTTTTTCTGCCATGTAGTACTCCAGTACCACATTTTCTTTATCCATTCTTCAGTCCAGGGGCATTTAGGTTGTTTCCAGGTTCTGGCTATGATGAACAATGCTGCTATGAACATAGTCAAGCACAGAACCAGGTCAAAGTTGGTGACCTAGGCTAGGGCAGGCCGGAGAAAGCAAACTCCAAGGGATTGGAGTATAAAGCCCAGGAGCACTGAGTGACCTCCAGGAACAAGGAGTGACCAAAGGGGTAACTAGAACCATGACACTGACTGTACCATGAGGAACAACCATATGAGCCTTGGATTTACTGGCACCTACAAGATTAATCAACAGAATCACAGAGCACCCCTACCCTACTATCAGAGGAAAAGATGCAACACCACAAAGAGCAACATGATGCCCGTAAAACATAAAGATCCTACAACATCAAGACTTGAACAACCAGATATAGATAAAGCAGAAGATAATGACCTAAAAATTAACTTCTGGCTTGATACCTTTTATCAGTGAGGCATTTTTATCTTGCTTTCTTTGCATCTGGCTGGCAATTATAGACTGAGTCTTTCCTCTTCCCGGAATTCTCCTAGTCTGATCACCCTGCATATACTTCCTGATGGGCTACTGGTCAATCAGTGTTTTGTTGAATCAGCACAACTGACAAATCCTGACAGGGTACAAGAGCATTACCCTACAGCAGTAAGAGAATTTCTGGACAGGAGTCTTATGTTGCTTCCTAGTTATGCAGTCTCACAGATGGGCTGGTGTTCATTGGCCTGTAGAGGCCTAACTACCAGATGCTGTCTGTGGGCTGGAACCAGCCACCATCATAATCTGCCAGTGTCATGTGCTGATCTGAGCCACAACACTGCTGACATGGTTGTTTAAGATTTGTCTCATGTGCTCAGAGAATGCTGTAGGTGCTCAGTTAAGATAGATACAGATAAAAATAATGTCTAAACAGGTCACACTGTGTTTAAAAATGTGCATAGGATTAAGAAAGAGAAGAAAATGGGTGCAGATAATCATAGAAAAATAAACAGTTTATAAATAATAAGTCTTTAAAGAGAGAATAAAATAACAAAAGAAGGATAAGCCACATAATGATAAAAATGCACAGAGAGTCTGGATTCTGCATGGTATTGTGTTAACTTTGAATTTTTTTTCTTACTTAGTTTTTATTCATACTCATAAACTTAACTCTGCAATCCAGCTAGACTTGAAGGGGAATGAGGAAAATATGGAACCCAAAGAACTTCAGTTAGAGCAGAGATTACAGGGTATTGCGAGCAGATGGGGCTGGAGTGCTCTCCTGAGCTACAGAAGGAGTGGTCTGGTGGGTAAGAAGCCCGCAAGTCAAAAGAATTAGAGTTGTCCACAGTCAGAAATGGTGATCTTCTTGCTGGTCTTGCCATTCCTGGACCCAAAACGCTCCATGGCTTCCACAATGTTCATGCCTTATTTCACCTTCCCAAAGACCACATGTTTTCACTCAGTCTTGTTGGTGCAGATAAAACCTGGGAACCGTTTGTGTTTGGTCCAGCGTTTGCCACGGACAAGCTGTCAGGACCTGTATGCTTCAGGATGAAGTTCTCATCCTCAAATTTTTCTCCGTAGATGGATCTGCCGCAAGTGCCATTATGGCGTGTGAAGTCACCACCCTGGCACATGAATCCTGGAATAATCCTGTGAAAGGAAGAACCCTTATATCCAAATCCTTTCTCTCCAGTGCTCAGAACACGAAAGTTTTCTGCTGTCTTTGGAACTTTGTCTGCAAACAGCTCAAAGGAGATGCGGCCCAAGGGCTCGCCATCGGCTGCATGTTGACCATGGCTGCAGCAAGCAGTGAGAGGGGACAGCTGAGTCTGCAAAGCAGGAACTTTGAAATTTTTGAATGCTGATGAGTGAACAATTGCTTTTTAGAGACATGGGATTGAAAGAGGGATTGCTAAATTAAACCAGCCTAGATACTTTAGGAATGCCTTACTTTTAAAATTAAATTCATAAAATGTATTGCTTTAGAATAGAGGTTATGCTTTTGTTTTATAGGAAACGAAAGGCTATGGATTCATTACAGATTAAAGAGGATCAGGTTTGATCAGGGGAGAACTCTTGAATAATTTTGACTGTAAATATAAAAAATAAATATAAAGAAACAAACCTAGAAAAACTGCACGACAGCTAACACATATTTTCCTTTCTCAAACATAAAAAAATTATCTTTGATTGGTTCATGTACAATGCACAGTCCATACTTGTGTGAATGCATATATGTATGTGTGATGGAGGAAGGTCATTGGTTAAAAAAATAAAGAAACTGCTTGGCTGGCCCTCATAGGTTAAAACATAGGTGGGAGGAGTAAACAGAACAGACTGCTGAGAGGAAGAGGAAGTGAGCTCAGAGACGCCACGCTCCCCTCTTCCGGGCAGACGCGATAGCTCTGCTCTCTGAGGCAGATGCACGCCATGAAGCAAGCCGCCAGGTCAGACATGCTGAATCTTTCCCGGTAAGACCGGTGCTACACAGTTTATTAGAGATGGGTTGCTCGGGATATCAGAATTAGCCTGTAAGGGCTAGAGCTAATGGGCCAAGCAGTGTTTAAAAGAATACCATGTCCATGTACTTATTTCGGGGCATAAGCTAGCAGGCGGCCGGGGTGCTGGGGACGTAGCCCCACCGCTCCTATTACTACATATGTGCCTTTGAAAGTTTTGTTGTTTTCAGAGTAAGGAAACCAGATACCAATGAAAGCAGGCAACCCAGGTAGTCCAACTTCTCTGAGTGCCTCTGTTATAGTTTCCTCAGAGTTCTACTTCCAGAACAGCTTCACAGCTTCTGACTGAGATGTTCCAGTCTCACAAACTATTGTAGCCAGGATTGCAGATAAACATTGCACAGAAACTGGACACCAAATGTTATGGTTAGGTTTTTTAGGACTTGACCATTATCTTAGTTTTCTCAGGTCTCCTTAAAGATTCCATCATCCAAGACAATAGAAAGCAATCTAGAATACACAGTGTTCACATTCCAAGAAGTGTGGTGGTTGGTTTTTGGTCATTTGGTGAGTTATGGATGTTTGTCATTTAGGGGGGTTTGGATATACAAAATAAGTTCAGAAAAGAAATTCACAAGAGGGGTGTAAAGTGTATAAGGTTGAGAGACATAAAAGCTTAAATTGTTTACCTAAAAATATTTTAAGGTCTAAAAAGATAGTTTTGGTTGCTAATACTAGCTAGGATAGAAAGTGAATTAGGTAGAAAACTTTGGACTCACAATAATGGATAGATAATGGAGTATTTTTATATGAATTTGAATGCAAATAGACTGAACATTGTGAATGTAATTTCTATCTGATACCTGTTCTTACTATCTATAGATTTACTGTCTTAGAGTTAAACCCCTTCCTTTCTACTTAGACAAACGGTGGAAATAATTGTGGAATAATCTTTGCTTACATGGTGAAGATGTGTCTTTGCTATGATACCTTCTGATTCATTTAATAAAGACCTAAAGGGTCAATAGCTAGACATGACATATAGGCAAGACTTATAGCACAACGAGGACTCTGGGAAGGAGAGAGGCCGAGAAGCCAGCCAGATTCAGAATGAATTGGATATACAGAATTGGGTAGAGGTAAAAGCCAAGTGGTAAACATTGATTAACAAAAATATGGGTTAATTTAAGAGCTAATTGAGACAAGCTTAAGATAAAGTGTTCATAATTAGTAATAAGCCTTCACATTATTTTTTGGAAAGCCTGCTCATGGGACAGAAAAAGACCCCTTACAAGATTTCTTTAAGGGAGGCAAGGATATTAGGAATAGGGTCTCATATAACACTAGTTTAATTCAATGTTGCTTTGTAGAGGGTGATAACTGTGAACTTCAGACCCTCCTGTCACCATCTCTGAAGTGTTGTGATCACAGGTGTTTGCCACAACACCCACTAAAGGCACTGGGATATTTTATCTCATGACAGGTTCTCACTATGGATTCTGTCTTGCAGGATAGAAATTACTTTGGAGACCAGACTGACCTTGAGATAACAGAAAACAGAAATCTATCTATCAGTCCTTACCTCCAAAGTGTTCACATTGACAGTGTATAAAATCATACGCAACTTGTCCTGAGATGTTTAAAGAAACTTATACAAATACCTCTAGACAATGATCAAGGTCTAGAATGGAGGCTTGTGCACAAAGAACTTGACAAAGATTAATGATGGAAATGGAATCAATTCAGAGATCCCAAACTGAAGGAAATCTTATGCTAACTGACCATAATACACTTTTACAACAATTCATAAGAATGTTCTCATTAATTATTACCTGGGTATTTCTGAGAGGTTTTGTTTTGTTCTGAGCTAGGATCTCATGCTGTAGGTCAGATGGGCATCAAATTCATAATCTTCCCACTTCAGATCCCAAATTGTTGGAATTTCATCTGTGTACTGCCACCATCATGTTAAACCTAGAATTTAGTCATAACAAGGGGAAATCTTGGAACACTGAAGATTTTGCTTTGAATCTTACACCTTCCCCCAGATGTAAGAGTAGAGGGTAGATGCCAGTGAATGTAGAGATGAGTAGGTTCAGGATGCATTATGTAAAATCCATAAAGAATCAATAAATGGCATAAAAAGAAATGCAAAAAGGAAAAACTAAATAATACTGCTTTAAAAAACAAATAGTGATAAATGACTCATTGATATTCTGATATATGTGTAAACAATGCCTTATTTAGCAATCATCAGAGAAACTTCCCTGTGCAGTAAATGGCGACAAATGTAGAGACCCACAGCCAGCTATGCAGAGTGCAACATTTTGGAACACCCAGTCCTAAATGAGATGTCTTCATCAAACCCCTCCCTTAAGAGCTCAGAGAACTCTGCAGAAGAAGAAAGAATGTAAAAGCAAGAGGAAATTGAGAACATGAAAACAAAGCTGTGTTAAGCAATTTGAGCAGCATTTATATTAACTCACAGAGACTGAAGCAGGGTGTACAGGGCCTGCATGGGCCTGCGCCACGTACTCTGTCTCTATATTATGGCAACCGGCATAATGTTTTCATGAGTTTCATGAGTGAATGAATAATTGGGTCTCTGATTCTTCTGCTTTAGATTGGTCTCTTTTCTTTTGTTGGTTTGTCTTGCCCAACTTCGATGAGATAGTTTTTGTTTTATTACATGTCTTAGAATTTCATTTGCAGCTATGAAACATCATGACTAAAGCAACTTTGGGAAGAAAGGGTTTATTTGGCTTACCCTTACACCACAGTGCTCATCATTGAAGGAAGTCAGGGCAAAAACTCAAACAGTGCAGGAGCCTGGAGGAAGGAGCTCATGGTATACTGCTTACTGGTTTCTTCAACACGGCCTGTTCAGCCTGCTTTCTTATAGAACCCAGGACCACCAGGTCAGGGATGGCAACACTTACAAGGGGCTGGCCCCTCCCCCATCGTTTACTAATTAAGAAAGTACCTTACAGGTTTGCCTAGAGCCAATCTTATGGAGGCATTTTCTTAATTGAGGATTCCTCATCTCAGATGACACTAGCTTGTGGCAAGTTGACAGAGAACTATTTTGCCTATCATCATTTTATAATGCATTTTATTATTATTTTTTCTTGATTCAGGGGGTTTTGTTGTATTTTGAGATGAAACTTAAAGGTAAGGAGGGTGGAGGACCCTTAAGGCCTTGGGGAGGGGATGAATATGATCAAAATATGTTCAAAATAATAAAATAACCTTCTTCACCATCAGTGTCTACATCTGTAAGGTAGACAGTGGCTGAAGGACTGTTTCTTCTAGTCCTTACCTGGGTGGTGCCTGTAAGAACAATGCCTACCTTTTTCATGTCTTCATAGCTTAACATCAGAAAATTGCTCCATTTTCTCATGGACAGCCAGGCACGGGTGTGCTCAAACCATGATCCATATAAGACTTTGTGTGGAGAGGAGGAAAGTGTCAATTACAAAACATGAAAATGTGGTCTGCTTGATACTCCTTACTTTTCTGTGAATGGTAGGCAGCTTTTTTAAAACATTAAGCTAGTTCACATTTAGAGCATTCAACATGATGTTTGACACACATACAAATAGTGAATTGACAAGATCAAGTTCATTAAGAAACCCGTCACCTCATAGACTTACCACTGATGCCATTAGGAGACATTCTACTCGCAGGTTGCAAGGACAGGAACATATACTGGGGAAATTAATCATACTAGTACAGGACATCAGAGGCTCATGTGCATAGCCAGACCTGAACCTTTAAATTACTACCATGTCTGTAGATAAACCTTCACCCTTTCTTTGGGAGAACTCTACCCAATGGCATCCACATCTAAGGTTCCAATATTTCTTAATAGTGTCTCATTGAGACCCAAGCCTTCAAAACATGAATAAATGAAGGCTTTCCAAGAATAGACATCTGGATTTATGCAAAAGCTTTATGCCCATCGCAGTGTTATTCTGATGTGTTCTCCACAGTCCTAGGGTCTTTCCTGTTCCTGCTTTGGTTGTACACACTCTTCATGTCTCAGATTCCATTACACCCTTGCACTGTTTCCCATTACCTGAGGGACTAACTTAATCAAGTCAGAAGAGAAGGCAAAAGTTCAGACAGGTTAAGACAAGTAGGAAATGTGAATTTCAATAATCTAATACTAGACTGGAAGCTAAGGGTAATTGGCCTACAGAGAACTGTAAAGAGAAGGTGAATTATACAATACAGTAAAGAGTTAAGCACTTAAAGGGGCTGAAAGTTGGAATTAGGAGATGGCTCAGTAGAAAACATTTGCTGTCCACATGTGAAAACCTTAGTTTTAATCCTCAGAAACCATTTAAAGCTGGTGATGAAGTCTTCGTTGGTCTCCTACTGTTCCTTCCATGATATGGGAATAGAGATAGAAGAATTTAGTGAAACTATGGCAATGCAGGGATGAACAACAACCAAAAAAGAGACCCTGTTTCAAACAAAGTGCAAAGCAAAGCTCAACCCTTTATGTTATCTTCTGACTTCCATCATCAAACCTTGGCACAAACATGCCCATATTCACTCATAAGCATTCACACCATCATAAACCCATATACATGTGTACATCAAAAGAATAGATCCAAGCCAGATGTGGTGGCACAGATCTGTAATGAAGATACTCAGAAAGTAGAGACGAGAAGATTGGAGTTCAAAGTCTTTTTTCAGATACTCAGTGATTGAGTGTCCATCCTGAACTCACCCAGACCCTGTCTCAAAACAAACAAAATAGTCAAAAATCACATAAATGAAAACACAATAACAAACCTAAGACTTATATCTAGGTGAATATTAACAGTGGTTCTGTCATGAAAGTGGTAAAAAGGTATTTATTTTGGGGCAAGGATTACAAATGGCATGTCAACTGGGCTGCCTCAGTCTTGTTACAACAAGGATGGCCTTGAACTACTAATTCACTGGAATTAAGGCCTTTATACTGAGTCTGGATATGTGTTATTTATTATACTCTAATGGATATGCATCAAATCACCTAATGCCTGCATCCAAAAATAAACAACCACAAGGTCTGTGTAGTAGGAGGCCACTTGTTTGTTCCTGGCTGCTCAGTCCTGAAATAATCACACAGAAACCTTATTATTTGCAGTACTGTTTGGCCAATAGCTTAAGCATATTTCTGGTTAGCTCATACCTTAAATTATCCCATCTACATTAATCTGTGTGTTGCCATGGGGCTGTGGTTACTGGGTAAATTTCCAGTGTTTGTCTCTGGCAGGGCTACATGGCTTTTCACTGACTCCTCTCTCTTTCTCCCAGCATTCAGTTTAGTTTTTCCTGCCTAGCTCTGTTCTGCCCTGCTCTGCTATAGGCTCAAAGCAGTTTCTTCATTAACCAGTGGTATTCACAGCATACAGAGGAAGAAAACCACATCATGTCTGAAGGCTAGTGGGAAGTTATTTTCAATAAACAGACAACTAATTACCTTACTCATGGTGAAGGGTACTAGGAAGACAAAAAGATTTGATGACTGTTGAAATAGGAGCGGTTGGGCTGCATCCCCGGCACCCGGCCGCCCGCATGGCTAGTTTATGCTCAGAAATAATTACACGGAAACTGTATTCTTTCAAACACTGCCTGGCCCGGCTAGTTCCAGTTTCTTATTGGCTAGCTCTTACATATTGTTCTAACCCATTTCTAATATTCTGTGTAGCCCACGAGCTGGCTTACCAGGGAGGATCTTAACCTGCATCTGTCTGGAGCGGGAGAATCATGGCGACTCCTCGACTCAGCTTCTTTCTCCCAGAATTCTCTTCTGTATACTCCGCCTACCTAATTTTCTATCCAACAAAATGGGCCAAGGCAGTTTCTTTATTATAATTAACCAATGTCCTTCCTCCATCATTTCCCCTTTTTCTGTTTAAACGAAAAAAAGGCTTTAACTTTAACATAGTAAAATTACATATAACAAAACAGTTTCAAGTAAGAATCACAGTTACTATATATATATATATATTATCTTTTATCATAACTAAGGAAAACTATAACTATCTATTCATTCTTCAACTCCATCAGAGACTCCAGAAGGATATAATACTACCTAAG